TGGTACAGACAATGAAAAAGGACCGCTAGTTCTAATTCCCTGTAACGGATGGTTTCGAGAAAGTGTGCATAGATACCGTAGGACCGTTGCCAGTCACCACAAATAACAATAGATATATTCTGACTCTGCTTTGCAAAATGTACAAGTATCCGGAGGTTGTTCCTTTAAAAGGCATACGATCAGAAACTATTGTCCATGCCTTATTAGAAATCTCCAGAATCGGATTTTCGAAAGTGGTGCAGTCTCATCAAGGCAGGTCATTTGTTAGCAATTTAACGAGTGGATTTTTTAAAGAAACAGGTATTCGAGTGGTGCACAGTTCAGTCTATCACACACAAACAAATTCAGTAGAACGCTGGCATAGAAGCTTAGGAACTGTGTTAGGAACTGTATGGCGGGAACAACAGGAATATTGGGATCACTATTTTCTTGCATTTTGAACAGTTCATGAAACTACTGGATTTTCTCCATCCGAGCTAGATAACGGCGGGAAAATTCGAACACATTTGACATTATTGAAGGAACAATGGCTAGGACAGAAAGTCGAAGATTTATCAGAAATACCTGTAACTGAATATGTATTCAACATAATAAACAGGTTGCGTAGATGAAGAGATTTGGCGATTGAAAATACCGAAAAAGCTAAAGATAAAGGTAAGCGGTATTATGATAAAAACGTCAGAGTACGAAATTACAAACCAGGAGATAACGTGCTTACGCAGTCGGTTTTGGGAGGAAGTAAATTAGGAGTAAAGTGGACGGGACAAGGTGAAATAGAACAAATTTCACTAACCAATTATTGGGTTAAATTCCATGATACTAATAAACAAGTGTATCATCACAATTTGTTAAAGCCTTACTACGAAAGAATGGAACAATAAATTTATTAATCAGTATCGATGAGCAGTGAGCGATGACGCCATTTTGAAAATAGAAGGGAAAGAGAATCCTGCGTGGATTAAAGAAAGGAAGTTGGAGGAAAGGGTTGATAGTGAGCAGGTTGCAAAAATAGTACCATTGCTGGCAGAGTTTAGAAATGTATTTTCGACAAAACCTGGGAAAGCTGATGAAGTAATTCATGATATCAAACTAAGTGAGGACTCATTTTTGCATATCACCATGCCGGATGGCACTTACCTTCCTTTAAGGATGCCGTTCGGGTTGCGTAATGCACCTTATGAGTTTTGTAGACTTGTGTAAAGGTCTTACGTGTGTCATTACGTATTTAGATGACATTGCAGTCATATAACCCATTTAGGAAGCTCATCTAAGAGATACCCGCTAAGTGTTGAGACGAGTAGATAGGTTTGGTCATACAATCAAACCTAATAAATGCAAAATTGCTCAGGACCGAGTCTATTATCTGGGATATAGGGACGGGGACGGGATATTCTTAGTCCGGTTTAATCAAAGGGTAAGGCTATTTCTAAATATCCTACACCTAGGAATAAAACGGAAATTAGAAGATTGTGTCGACTGATATCCTATTACGCACAATACATTACCAACATGACGGTCATAGCAGCTCCGCTGACTGATTTGACAAAGGGAAAACCTAGAAAGGGAATCATAACCTGGAATGAGAATTTTCAGAAATCTTTTGATGAATTAAAGAACATGCTAATATCTGCTCCGGTATTAGTAGTTCCCAGAGCCGATTCTGAATTTACAACGCTTACAGATTCTTCGGGCCGGTCTCGATGGCCGAGATCGCAAAGACTGTGGTGCCGTAGCGATCTCGAACCGAAGGATCGCGTGTTCGAGTCCCGCCTCTGGCATGGTTTTCTTGTGTTCTTCCTTTCACTCCCTATTATCATATCATGTCATCCTCACAGTTACCATACCGTTTCACGCAATAGTCGCTAATGACCTAGCTGTTAATGCGACCTTAA